CTCCTCTCGCCTACAAGATGAGGGGCTCTCTGAAGTCGGCGCACACCCGCTAAGCCGACCCTTCAGGATGGGAAGCTGACCAAGCTTCTCGTCCCCCTGCTCACCTCGGAGCTCGATCAGCTTCGGGGACTACTGTCGGAGTAAATAGCCATGGGTAGCCTAGCCGGCTTCCCATGGCCCTTCTGAAAAAGTTACGAGCCCGCCCGACTCTCAAGAATCCAAGACATGGGGCCGCCTTCCCCTAGCTGGCTGCGACCCAGGCCGGCTTTCTGAAGGCGGTCCGACTTTAGCCCTCATGAGAAGGCCGACTCCCAGAAGCCGGCCATGAGAAGGCCGACTCCAAGAAGCCGGCTCCCTATAAAGCGATCAAGACCGTACCCACAAAGTTTGCACCTACCTAACGGCAGTGCGACGGGGCGTGGCTACTGTAAAGCCTGCCACCCCCGAATCCCGGAGCACGCCTGGCATGGTGCGCCGTACGGGCTAGGCACGACCCGTCCGGCGCGGCACTGTTGCCATGTTGACCCTGGCATCACCCACGACGGGCCGCCAGCGTGGCCCCCAAACGGTGGGCCCCTTTGAGCAGAGAGACGCCCGAAGGCGGCCACGCCTCCAACTAGTCGGCCCAAGACAGAGCCGGCTCCCCGCAGCCGGCTTGCCGCCTTCCTCGAAGAGGACGCCCCATTAAGGAGACAAGACGCAGCGAGGCTACAGCAATCGCCTGATAGGCGGCGGTACTGTAGCCGCGCTTACCACGATGAAGCCCACGTGAGCAAGATGGAGCCACAGTAACCAGCCGCCGACCAGGCCCTGGACAGTGGGGCCTGCCTGTCGACCAAGGGGCCGGCAGCCGACGGGATCCACCAGTCGGCGGGCCCCAGCAGCCGGCGCAGAAGCCGGCGAGCGCAGTCACAGACGGCTGGGCCCTGTGCCCAGTCGGATTATCATTGTACCCCCGGGAGGTAGGCCTATATAAATCCCCCGGAGCACCCATGCAAAGGGTTGGACCCCCCGCTAGTTCTAGACACCACACAGGGAGTAGAAGCGGGCGAGCCGTGCCCTTCTTCCTCCTCCCCCCAAACAGCTCAAGGAGCATTGTGTAGCTACTTGATTCATCTAGTGAGCATGCGGAGACCTCGCAGAGCAGCAGTAGGGGTGTTATCTCCACGGAGAGCCCCGAAGCTGGGTAAGATCCGCCGGCGTGCATGTCTTCGCCTTATCCCGTTTCCAGGCACCGGCGATGTCTTACTGGCTCCCACAATGATAAACCACCCGTTGGCATATGTCGCACCTACCACCCGACATCCAGCAACCCTGGGCACTTGCGCGGGCTCGCTGGCTCCTCGATGGCAGCGATCCTAGAGATAATGAAGGGCTAAATCTGTTCGGTAGTTGGATTTACCCGGGCAAAACAAATCTGGGCCATCGTCTCACATGTTCACAACCCAATAGTACAACAGTCTGCAGCCCAGGCCCAAACAACTTCTGTTTCATGAGTGCAGGACGCGAGCGAATTTGTACGATCCACAGATCGATCGCTCCAACTCCTTGTCCCTTCGTTTCTCATAGGCAGGCAGCGCACGGACTGGCAACAGAGGCCGGCGGCTGCCCTGGAGACGGCTAGAAGCAGGGCTGGCGACGAGCGGACTCCAAACACCGAGGCACTCTACCTCGTTCCTCAACCCCTCCTTCCTCTCATCTCTGAATAATTGGTCTTGTCTGGCCGGCCAGGGATTGATTCATTGATAGACCTAGGGTTTAAATTTGGGGATTTTTTGTTGGGGACAAGAGAAAATTGTATTTGTGGGTGCTGGATACTGTAAAATCGCAGTAATTCTTTGAGATCCTTCATCAAACTATCCCGTACTTGCATCATAGTTCATACTTAGGTGCCATCTGCAGTTCTGCATATAGATTCAGATAGGATCTACAAGTATTTTTCCTTGTGATGCATTGATCTTCATAATCAGTGCATATATACAAATCCTTGTATACGGACTTTTTGTCACTACTTTAGATCTAAATGATCTTATATTTCTTTTAGGAGGGAATAATACAATACAAGTAGTTGCTGCAATGCTCCGTACTACGAACTTGTTACTTGTTGTAGCTCATTTTCTTTTTTATTATGATGACTTTTCTAATGATGACCGTGGAACAATAGGAGAGCAACTTCTCACTTATATAAGTCAAGTGAAAAGGCATGCTTCTTTTCCTAGTTGTGGTGATGTTCAAGGTTTGCCCATGAAGATGGTTCAAAATGAGAAACATTTGGTATTTCCATTGGTATACAAACTTATTGAGCTGGCTTTGATATTGCCGGTGTCATCGGCATCTGCTATGAGAGCTTTTTCAGCCATGAAGATTATTAAGAATAAACTGTGCAGCAAGATCAATAATATGGATATGTTACACCGAGCGGGAGTTATTCAAGTCAGTTGATGATAAGGATATCATTTGAACATTTACTGAAATGAGTTCTAGGAAAGGGCATTTGCCTCGTGATTTTCCTTAGTGCAATGTCGGTATGTTCCATTCCATTTGACCATCTCTATTCTTGCTTTTGATTTTGAATATATTCAGATTTCACAACTAAATTTGTTTTAATACAAAACCATTTTTAATCTTGTAGTGCCTTGTAGGACTTTGGCAACATGGTGAGTTTGCCTCTATGCAATGCTGGTTGTATGTCTTTCTTTTGGAAAAAATGAACAAGTGAGAGATGCTTTTGTCATGGTGAAAGAAATGGCACAATCACGTCTGGTATGTATAGTTTTACTTTTGTTGCCAACATGACGAGTTTGTCTCTATGGAACTGGTTATGTATCTTTTGTTGTCAAGTCTCAACTTTATTTACTATATGAAACTGATATTGATATTATATATTAGTTCATTTCAAAATTACATTTTGTGTGACTATTATATTTATGTTTTCACTTGGTGGTATATCATGATACGCATCCAAATAGCCGATTTTTGAATTCTAGATTATACACTTAGGCTCAACTTGCCCAGGCTCCAAAAAAGTTCTGGCTCCGCCCCTGGCTCGAAGGATGAATGTATCTAGATGTATTTTAGTTCTAGATACATCCATTTATATTCATTTCCACGACAAATATTTCCGGACGAAGGGAGTAATAAATAAAAAATAAAAACTTAGCTAACCTATCAGCTCATAGTCTCTACATCTAGACTCGCAAATAAACCGACACTCTTCAAAATTGTACTCAGTGAGGTTCGCCTCTTTGATCACCACCGCATTAGCTCCTCCAAACATTGGCTTCTATATCTTTGATGATCAAACTATTGTCTCGAAAAATAAGAATATGTGTTGCCATAGTCAGTTGCTAAAGGCTGAACTTCTCTGCATGCTAAAGCTTCAAAGACGGCCACATCGGTGACACCATTAAGAGTAATAGATGAGATCAGAGATCTCATGTATGTTTTGTTTTGATCCTGACACACAGCAGCAACAACTCCTCGTCCGCCCTGAATATTGACTACATCATCTGCATTAATCTTTAGGGAGCCGAGCGGCGGAGGGGACCAAGGTAATCGCCCTGCCGCACGGGCACTTGCAACAGAATTCGGTTTTCGTTTCGAGAGTTGGCCAAGGTTACTGATGAAACTTTGGATAAACATATAGGTAGACATGGGCGGCTGGAAATGTACAAAAATCATTTTCATATACATGTTGACCTTTTTTAATACACGTTGAACATTTTTCGTATATAGGTTGAACATTTTTAAGATACACGTTGAACATTTTTTTTAAAACACGCGATGAATGTTTATATGAGGACATGTTGAACATTTTTTGTCAAATGCACATTGATTTTTTTCCTAATACAGAGTGAACATTTTTAAACACAAGTTGAATTTTTTCCACAAATCCGAACATTTTTCTCAAATGAGCGAACAATTTCCTAAGGGGTTATGAGCATTTTTTTAAATGGCACAAGCATTTTAGACATGTTATAAAAAATTCAAAAATATGTGCCAACAATTTTATATTTGATGAATATTTTTAAAATGTCATAGACATATTTTAAATGTGTGAACGTTGTTTTAATGTTATAAACAAATTTTCTTGTTACGAACAATGTTTACAAATTATGCGAACATTTCTTACATTTTCATGAACATATGTTTAAACATGTGGACATTTATAAATGATGCGAACATTTTTTGAATGGTACGAACAATTGCGCTAACAAATTTTTACATCTCATAAAAAAAGTGTGCTTAAATAATGTATGTAATGTAGTTTTTTGAAATATATATTTACAATATTTCGAAATGGAAACAAAAGTAAAGAACGGGGAAATAATCAAATGAACTAACAATAGACCCTCCTTGAGGCAAGGCGGGTGTTTGTATCGCAATAAGCCAGACACAGAGACGACCCAGGGGGCGCCTTTGTTCGTCTCTCTTGCTTTGATCGATCGGTTGGTCGGACCGAGACCGACTAGCACGTGCCAAAACGATAAGGCACGGTTTTTCCTTAAACCGAGGCAATGCCAGAAGAGATGTGGATTACTCCCAAAGCATGAACCCTATAGTTTGTAAAGTTTGACTTAGGATAAAGCTAATATAAATGAGAACGGAAGAGGTATACTTGATTTGGTGTTGATAGTTCGTGCTTCTCTTGTCATATATATATCTATATCCATCGTCTTCTGTGACAGTGTGATAGTTGAAGCTATGCATACAAACCCAGTGTTTCACACCATGACAGAAGATATGCACAATCCACAGGCAAACAAATTCGTCAAAGTATCAGTTTCTGTTTTCACGAGGCACGCGTACATGATATTCTCATCAGAGAGCAATTCACAGTGGTATCTTTCGCCGTTTTGCTATCCTGGTGTGGTGTCAAGCAAGAACACCCAAAAAAGAACCGGAAAAGGGCGACGACACTTCATTCAGACATCATGTCCACTACCACACCGAACCGTCGACTCTGACAGGTCCATCAAAGTATATATCCAAAGCTGGGCTCAGGACTCCTGCTGCACCTGAGGAGTCTGGAGGAACAGGAACTGCATAAAAAAGGTACGCGTGTTAACATTTAAGTAAAAAGTGACCGGTGTGCATAAATAGTTATTCGTGTTGATGATCTGGGCCAGGTGTGTGTTACCTCGAACGACTTCCCTGATCTCTCGTACTCGAGCATGCTGAGGGCTACTTCACAGCTTTGGGAGACGATGGGCTCGGGGTCCTTGGAAAATTCCTCCAGAAGCGCAATGCTTTCTTGATCTAACAGCAACAACATCACCAGAGTGTCAGGAAACTCTGAAACATATGTGGATCGACTGGAGAAGTGCCAGAGTTCTGGCAAGTCATGTAATGTTAGTTACCCGCAATTGAACCAAGGGCCTCAGCAGCTTCATGTCTGACCATCGGGTGCTCATTGACGTTCTTCAGCACACCAGAAAGTGCATCTGAAGCAGCCTTATTTTGCAGCTGACCTAATACATAAGCGACCTGCAGAATAGTAGAAGAAAACATATTATGCTGCAGAAAACACTAGGCACTAAAACAGCAAGAATATTATAAAATGGTTATGTGACAGATAATAATTTATCAGTAATCCTAGTTATCAGAAATGCAAGAAGATGCAGGCCGAATACTTGTTTTGGTTTATTAATCTCTGTTCTTTAGCATGACAATTGGCTTTATTAATTTAAATGAAGATACCATCTTTCATAATTTATGCTTGTGGTAAAACAGCAAACAGAAAATCGTAAAAGTTCAAGCAAACCTCGTGGCGCAGAAGAGCACTTTTCACACCTAGAGATTCAATGATAGCAGAAACAGCATAATCTCCGCCATCATTCCTAAGCGCAAAAAGAGCTGCATAACGTTCATACATCTTTTCTTGCTCGTTGAGGAGAAGCTCCCTGAAAAGTATCCACCATGCTAGTAATATCAAGATGATGCATACTAGAGACAGAAAAACCATTTACAACTGTCTTGAAAGACACACCTTAGTTGTTCTACTGAAAGTCCTTGCTTGGCAGGCAGTGCTGGATCAACTGATAGATAAGGCGAAATTGTTGTGCTTTCAGCGCCACTAGCATTCTTCTGCCCTTCTATCCGTCTAAGAGCCAATTCGCATGTTTCTTGCACCTCCACGGCAGGATCAGCTGCTAAACTCTCTTTCAACAGGGAAATGCTCTTTTCCAAGCCAATAGCTCCCAGGGCTTCAGCAGCCTGATCAATAAACATATAAAGCTTCTCAAATGGATAGCAAGGTACTAGAAAGGGCAGATAACATCAACTTCTGCGATGGTGAAGTACCTCGTGGCGGACAATTGGATGCAGTGAAAGATCCTTGAGAACTCCCTCTAATGCAGGGATAGCTTCAACATCCTGCATTTGTCCAAGCGCAAATGCAGCCTCATGGGCAAGCAAGTTAGAGGGATCCCTTGCAGCTGAGCATTCAAGAAAATACATCAGATTTTCTAAACCATTTCTTTCGGGCACATAATTTTCAGTAATAGAGTAAACAAAAACCAGTAGAATTTTAGAGCTAGGAGCTTCATCAGTAGGATCTGGTACTAACAGCAGATCTGAAGTAAAATACCAAATAATTTCAAAACTAAGCAAAGTGAACAAGGAAATCCTAATGGAATATCATCTAAAAGTGTTGGACACCAGAACTTTGAGCAATTCATCATGTATACATGTCGACAAATGAATAATCTGGAGACAGAGAAACATACACAGGCAAGGGGACAGGCAACGATCCTAGGATCACTAGTGCATACAAGGTGCTAGCATCCCAACTTTCTTAGAGATATCCATCCGCACGAATCACTGGCACAAGCAGATAATAAACGCGCAGAACCACACCCGATTCCAGGCATACTGAGCAGGGCCAACCGAAACCAGCAACATTTAACAGTGTGAGAGGACTTTCATAAACTAACTGGATACACTCGAAACTAAACTAAATGGATGTAAGGCGCCAAAACCGCCCAGCTAGACAACTGAAGCATCAGATTCCGTGGAGGGCAATCCAAGCTCAACCTATTATCAGCACGGAATCAACTGCTTCAGGCTCCTTGCGAGGGGGAGGGGAGGCACCTTGGAGGAGCGCGTGGCGGGGGCCGTCGCCGCGGAGGTTGCGGAGGGAGAAGAGCGCGCGGAAGCGCTCCGCGATGGGCTGCGCCGCGTCCAGCAGCCGCTCGCACAGGAACCGCTCCGTCTCCGCCGACGACTCGAACCCCATCGGCCCCTCCGCACGACCGTCGGCAACGCGCTCACGCTGCTGCTCACTCCCCCGGCGGCGGCGGCGGTAAGAGAAGAGAAGAGGAACTGGAAAGAAAGAAAGAGGGAAGAAGAATGTGCGCGTTAGCTCTACGCAGTCCCGCGCGATCCTGGCCGTCCGATCGGGGCGGGACACGTCACCGCCCCCATCCGGAGGCCGCCACGTGCGCCGAGCAACCTGCCGTCGCTGCCAGCGGGCCCCGCCTCGCCCGGGCCCGCGTGGCAGTTACGAGCTACCACTATACCGCCTCCCTCTTCCTCCTCCCCCCCGTGCCATTCCCCCACCTCCTCCTCCCCCGACGCCGACGCCAGCCACCGATCCGGCGCGAAATCGAGAGGCACAGCCGCCGGAGATCCGCGGGTACCCCGAATCTACCTACCTCTGTGTTTTTTCCGGAATTTTCCCCTTTGTTTTCGGCGCCCCTGTGGCCGGGTCTCTGATCGCTGGCGGTGCTGGGTTCTTCTGCAGGGGCCGTGGAGGGAGCCGAGCCGCAACCATGAACGCGAGGGGGTAAGCTCCGGCGCGCCGCTTGGTCATTTCATTGTGCCCTTTCGAATTTCGGGGCGGCTGATTAGGGCGGGGTTAGGGTTCACGAGGGCGGGCGAGATTCGTCGCTGGGGATGGATTCGCTGCTGCCCGTGCCCTCGTAGTGATTGTGAGATGCCGTGGCATGTCGAGTTCCCGTGCGATTAGTGGGATTGGCAGTGTGATGTGTGCTGTCTGTTTGTGAACTAGGGAGATTGGGGTGATCTGTTACTCTAGTTATTATGTTGCTGATCCCCGTGTTATGGTTCAACGGCGTGGAGTTTCGATGAATTGGTTTTAGGTTGCTGGGAATGGCGGTACGCTTTGGTGAACTCGATGAGGGCATGGTGATACTCTTTCCAGCGGACTAGCTGCGAGATTCATAAACAGGGGCCTTTTCTCACCGAGTGGCTCCGGTGGTCGCTTGCGTTCGTATTGTCACGATGCGGTGCGGTGATATCGAGTTCACATGCGTGTTCTGAAATGGATGCACTGATTCTCTCCTAAGGAACCTAGGATTAAGGTGATCCGTCAATGCAGTCTTGTTGTCGAGTCTTGCCTTCTATTTAAGAGTTTGCATTTCGGTAAATTGGTTAGGTCGCCGGGAATGGCAGTATGCTGTGGTGAATCAGATGGGTTCCTGGCGATACTCTTGCTAGCTGGCTAGTTAGTACTGATACCTAAGTGTTCTAGTTAATCCTGTACTTATTTGTCTCTTAGAGGTGTCTGTAGCCTGCCCGATAACTTATTCTGAATAATTGGAACCAGATCTATGTGTTTTCGCTGATCAGCTTCGGTTATTGCCTTGACACATTTGTTTTTAATTTCAAAATGAATATGCTCAAAGTGTTGCGAATGGTTCCTCTGTTGAAGATCTGAATCCTTTTTTGTGATATAGCATTACTCAATCCTGCACCTGTTTTGTCAAAGAATTACTTAATCTTGCACAGGACAGTGCCAATTTTTTCCATTTCCACCAAATTTGCAATAGATGCTCCACTTCTTACACTGCCATGTGCCATCATCTCGCTGTTCGTTTGTCCACTATAGTTGAACGGAGATGCATATCTGCATAGTAGACAAGGTGACATACTGACATGGCATTGATCTTACCCTCCCATCAGATCAATGAACTAAGAACCTGGACTCTTGGAAGCTACTGTTTGAACATGTTAGGCTATAGCGGAATAAATTGCAATATTATGTATTCTTGCATTTCATACTTATTACGAACTCTTATGATAGGGCATGAAGATAGCATGTTCTGTTAGTATGATAGACTCTCAGTCTGATAGCATGGATCTTGCTCTGTTTTTTTTTTCTACTTGGGTAATAGGCATCCCAATGTTGATCCAACATGAATTTGAAGGCAGCTAAATGGAACAAATGAGCAAAATATTGAATGAAACATAGGATGTTGGGAGAGAAATTAAGGTGGGCCGATATTCTATTTAGCTGTGAAGACTGAACTTGGTGCCAAACATCGGCGGCGCGAAGTAAACGCAGCAGCCTGCCTGTTGTGGCACTATATATAGTAAATAACCTAACAAGAAATCTGCTAACACAAACAACTTCTATCAATTCCAAGTGTTTATAGCACATCTCATGTCTTGCACTCTGTCTCCGGGTGTAAGTTGTACTGTAACATCTATATCCTTTGACAGCTTTATGAGTAGACATCCTTATAAATAGGAACAAGGGCACATTGTGTTGTACATATTTTTAGTCTGACCATTATCAAAAGTTTGGTGATGGGTGCTCTGTCCTCACATTGATTTAACATACAGTTATGTAAAGTTTCTTTATCTGATTAAATGCCCTCCCCCTCAATACATTTGTTGTAGGTGATGATGTGTTCAGAATTTATTGACTTTCGAATTTAAAGGAAAAAATATAAGGTCCTTTTCATATGCGAAGTAATTTAGTTTGCGTATGCATTTCTGTGTTTCTTTTGGACTTTATGTTTTCTGTGCACTTGTCAAATCTGTATGCATTCTTATATAACTATTCTCTGCACTTTTGATAGGTACCGAAGCACCAGAACTGCTCTTTTTGATGGCATTGAAGAAGGTGGAATCCGATCATCAGCTTATTCTTCACATGAGATAGATGAACATGAGAATGAGCGAGCTATGGATGGATTGCAAGATCGAGTCAGCATTCTCAAGAGGGTGAGTGCCACATAATAATTGAATATCTGAATGCTCTATCTTCGTTTTATGTAAAGAGTTGGTGTATTCACATATTGATTATGCTTGTTTATCTTTTAGTTGTATTGCTTAGCTAAGATCGTAAGAAGATATTTGTAGCACTTTCTAAAAAGGAACATATTTTTCTCGCAAAACTAAGAGATAAACAACTTTAGGAATTGCAACTTTATAGACAATACTAATCTAGACTGGTATCCATGGTAACCATGTGCGTTCCTGGACCATTTAGTTTGAATAGCCAGTGAGGAATTAAGCATTG